GGCTGGATGAGCTAAGCGCCGAGAACCGCAGCCTGTGGGAACACCAGCAGTTGCTGCAAGCTCAGCCTCCGCCCGGGCTCGTTCCTCCGTCCCCAGCCCCGCTGCCCGCTATCCCAGTCACCGCCGCCACCGCCACTGCTGTCGCCCAGGAACAGCTCCAGAACCACGGACAGGTCCCGCCCACCTCGCCACAGACTGTACCGGAGCAGCCACCGATTCAGCACCACGGACAGTTCCTGGTGCATCCCTCACCGGGCCACAGCAGCAGGGCGCAAGCACCCCAGTCGCCCCACCAGCAGACAGGGGCGCCAGGGGCCGTCGCCAACAAGGAGAAGGAGCGTCCCCCGAGTTGTTGCGCTGCCGCTGGAACCCTCCTTCAGCACAAATCCCCCGCTGCCCTCGGCAAGGGCGTCCTGAGCAGGAGACCTGAGTGAGTGAGGAAGAGGGTTTGCGGACAGTTGAGGTGGGAGAAAGGGAAGCAAATGGGTATGAGGAAGAGCCAAGGGGGAAATGGGTGCACTTAAGGATCTGAAGGACTAAGGTAACGTGAAGTGAAGGGGTGAGAAGATGCCTGAGGGTAGAAGTGTGTCAAGGAGATTTGGGGAAAAGGAGGAAATGATATCAGTGTTTGAGAGGGTTTGGGGGTTGTTGGAGAAAAGGGGAATATCCAAACCATCACTGGGGGCAAAGAAGAAAGAAATTTGGTTTAAGTGATTGGGGATGTGGAAAACTAGCAGTTCTTAACGGGGACAAGATTGAGAGAAAGTTGGGGTGAAGATTAAACTGAAGAAAAGAGAACAGTTGGAGAATGTATTTAAGTTGGAAAAAATCTTAGAAGAGAGTTTGAGTGGTAAAATTATTTCAATGAGTAGTAAGATATGAAAAAGATGGAGGCTTGGCAAACAGGCATGTTAAGGGCTTTAAAAGGGCTAGGGTCCAGGAAGAGTAGACTTGGGACTGAGGGAATTCAGGAGGCAGAGGATAAATCAGGAATGATGTAAAAAGTCCGGGGCGGGGGAGGGGGGTGCTGTAGATAGAAGATGAGCTGGCTCTTTAATTGATGCAGTGGGAATCAAAGCCAGGAGTGGCTCATTTGGGGAATCTTACGCTGCTCTGACCTGAGTGACTGCCTTTCTTATGAATCCACACAGAACTAAAGGGGTGCAAGGTAACAACCCACCAAGCTAATGGAGGACTGAGTTACAGTATGAGGACTCAGTCTGGTTATAGCTTTCCCTCTGACACAAAGAGGATTTCTGTGCAGGGTGGTTGGCAGTCGTACAAAGGAAACAATGATGAGAGAGACAGTTGCCAAACGGAGTTGGTATTTCAGTGTAATTCCTGTTTAAATCTCTCTGTTAGATCTAGTGACTCCCATCCTTCTTTCCCTTTGGATTTTTGGTGATAACTGAAATCTCATGTTGAGTTGTGAGAGAAATAGTAACCCCCATTGAGGGACTCTAGGACCTTGAGCTCTTTCTTCACACACAATATCCATAAACTAGGAATATGGAAAGAAGAGATGAAAGGGGACTGGAATATTCTCCCCTGGGTATTGGGAAAGCTGTGATCATGTCAGTTTCCTTTCTCTGATTAGAGGTGATGGGATAACTGCATGGAAGAACAGCTCTGGGGAAATCAGCATCTGGTCAGCACCTGATCCTGACAATGATGACGCTAACGGAATTGATTAGGGGAAAGAGGGAAAAGAGCCAAGAATCTCATCTTTATCCAGTCTTGCTGTGCTTTAGATCTGGGGATACTTGTGAAGATTTTTATATATTTCTTAAAAACCCATGTTCTCCTCACATCTACTCTAGGTTAGAGAAGTTGGGTCAGGACATGTTAGCTCACAGGGTAGATTTGACCAAAACCATGAGACTTAAGGGGGAAAGGTCTAGGCCAGTGATGGTGAACCTTTTGAGCTCGGCGTGTCAGCATTTTGAAAAACCCTAACTTAACTCTGGTGCCGTGTCACATATAGAAATTTTTTGATATTTTCAACCATAGTAAAACAAAGACATATTTTTGATATTTATTTTATATATTTAAATGCCATTTAACAAAAAAAAATCAACCAAAAAAACGAGATTGCGTGTCACCTCTGACATGCATGTCATAGGTTCGCCATCACTGGTCTAGGACCATCTGAGTTGGCTGACCTAAATCATTTGATTTGAGCCCCCAAGAAGATGGTTTTCTTAGCTCCCTCAGTGGTCCAATTGCCCACCCTTTGGTTTCATTGTTTTCTTTCCTTATCTAGCATAAAAAGCAGAAAGTCAGTTTTCCCTCATGCTCATAGCTAGTTAAAAGGCCCATGATACTCTGTGGCTTTCCCCCCAAATAGGGAGATAAAAACTATTTCATTCCCTTTTCCTGAGGGCAGCCATGGCTTCATAAAAATGATGGTTCTTCACCTGATTCCTTTCCTCTTGTTCCTTATTGTCTCCTTCTCTTCCACTGCACCCCACATTGTTTGCATCCCTTCATGATACTATGTGGGCCAGAGAGGTTGAGAAAAGATCCTTTTTCTTGACTAATAACTTTGCTGTGGCCCCCACAGTGGCTTAGAGAGCCCTAACTCTCCTGCCCAGGTGCTCTTGCTGGGAATTCAGGGGTTTAGGAATCATCTGGATTCCATCCAGCCTCATATGGCAAAACTGGAGAGGAAACATCGTTTTTCCTTCTCCTTGTCCTGCTTCTGCTTCCCAGGAAAGCAGAACAAAAATAAGAAATAATTAGAGTGGTGGAAGAGAGTGGAGATTGTTGGAAATCTCTCATGTAGGAAGTTGTGCCAGGCACTAAAAGGTTGATATCACTGGTAGCTCCTTCATTTATCCAGATCCTCCAGCTTTTTCTCCTGCTCCCCAAGTCTGAACACCAAGAGACTTAGAGAGCATGGGTATGGACATGCATGGCTCACCTCCTTCCCAAGGCACTCTCTCTTCCATAGATGTGAAATGTTGGCTTGCCGGATGCCTTTGGACCACTCATTTCTCCCCACTGTTTTGCTTCAACCCAAATTTTCCCCACAGGACTTCAGGAAGGGATTATCTTTGTTGACTAGATCTTTGGCCTCAGCCTGCTCTCTACCCATGACACCCTCCTTGTATGTCCGTCCTCCTCTCCATACCTCTCAATGGTGCAGAGCTAGATGCAGCCAGCAGGCAGGGAGATATCTCCATGGATAGAGTTAGGGGAGGAGAAGAGCAGAGCCAGCAGCTCTCTCTCCAATATTTCTCCTAGGGAACACACTGCTGAATCAGTTCTCTACTGGGGGTGCTGAAGTAGAGGAAGAGATGACAGAGGGGGGTGTCTTTGGATTGTAATTTTGCTGAACTCTTTTCTAATTTCATACTTTCCCTTCCCTGGCCTCATTATAGTGAAAATGAGGCCCTGGTGAAGTTGCTGAAGGGTAGGTGAGGGTTATGAGGAGCCAAGCACTGTGTTAGATGCGTTATCTCATCATACAGTTGTCTTTTATCCACAGAACTCCTCTTCCTGCCCAAATCCAGGAGAAGCAGGAGCCCTAGGGAACCTGGGACTGGGAAATAATGGATTGTTTAATTGTCATCAGACCTGCATTAATATGCAGCTTGGCCTTGCTCCCTCTTTCAGCTGAGGGAGATAAAATAATGGTGGCCTTGGAAATTAGGCCAAGGAAGTGACATTATGGAGATAAGTGATTGCAGAGACATCATGGAAGAAGAGACTTCAGGGGTTAAAATTGTTTCTTTGCATGTTTCCTGGCTCTTGCTACGCTTCAGCCCCCACTGCTTTTGCCTCTTAATGAAAGCAGCAATCTTGGCTTCCTCCTCTTTATTTTTTCAATCAAGGCTCACTACATCTACAGAATTGATTATGCTCTTCCTGTCTGAAGCCAGAACCTCAGCCTGACCTGGCAAAGTCTCCTTCTTGCCATGGAAGCATATGGCCCTGCTTGAAGCTACTGGTGTCAGTATGACCACAGTTTCTCTGTTTGAGCACAGGTTTGCCCAGCCATCCAGCTATGCATTTAGAGCACCTGGACCCCAGGGCTTGCCAACATACCCAAGCCCATGGGCAGAGGATTTTTGGAGGCTAGGTAAGATCCTTGCATTATAATTCAAATTTAGCTCCTACCCCAAACTCCCCACCTCCAAGTGGCCACGAAGTCTGAATGGCTCAGTAGCGTCTGTCCTCTTTTCTTTTCCTTCCTCCTTAGTCTTTTTTCTATACACTTCTTCCTCACTATCCACCCTTTCTCTTTTTTTCTTCTTTCTTGCCTCTTTCTTCCTGCCCCTCACACACTTTCTCTCTCCTATATTTTCTTCTTTCTATATTTTGCTTCTACTTAAGCTGCATAGGGAAGTCTCCCCTTCTCCACTCCCATCCTCTCAGCATAAAATAAATATTGGGTCATCTTTTGAGTTCTTATACTGACTGGAGGCTGGAGGCTGGTTAGATCATTGGAAGTGCTTTTTACCCTGTTATCTAAGGTGCTGGTTGGAGTAGGTGTCTCTGTTTGGAAGTGCAACTCATGACCGACCCATCCTGAGAGCTATTAAAAGAGTATGAAGGTATATCAGTCAGTCAACTCTATTGTATCAATTGTCCAGTTAATCCAAAACCCTGCATTCTGTGCTGTGGAAAGAGGAAATAAGCAAACAGTTGTGGTTCAACATGCAGGAGACACATATCTGGAAACATCCAAACAAGTGTAAGCAGATTGCAGCTGCCTAGAGCTACCCTCTATCAGAACAGAATGGTGAAAGGGGTGAGCATACAAATCACATTCAGAGTCCAGAGAGAAGGTTTTATTGGCTGGACTCAAGGGTTTGTGTCAGGAACAGTAAGAGTCAAGGCTAGCTGGATGGAGAACAGGGCCCAGAAGATTCAGTGCATGGAATCACTACCGCATCTGCATATATCCTGTCTTCTGATGACATAGTTCCCTAATCCCCTAATCCCCTCCCTCCAGGCAAAACCCTATCCACAGGGTAAGGAAAGCCCTGGGACTCGGGGTCCTTGTCTATCGCATGACAGAAGGTCTGGTTGCTGAGGCCAATGCTCATCAACCTGCCTATCCCCCTTCTCTTCCTCTGTCTGCTGCAAGGAGAGGACTTGTAGCTGGTTAGCTGGAAAATGGGGCCAGAACGAAGGCTCACTGAAAGGAGGAAGTGTGTGGCTTTTTGCTCACCTGGAAGCTGACATGGAGTGGGCATTTGTAAAGATTTTCTGTCCCCCTCCTTTCCAATGGCCCAGACTGCTACGCTTCCGTCCCATTCAGCCAAAAAGAACACAATTCAAGAGAAACAAGTCATCCTGCCTTCTGGGAAATGTTGATGGCCTTTCTCCTCCTCACCAGCCCCCTTTGCCTTGCTCTACCCCTACTCTTTCCTTCCTTGCTCCTGAGCCCTTCCCAGACCCACATAGTCAACACCGTGGGGC